CAAATTGATATACTATGTAATAGTAAATGAACTTTAAGTACCAACAAATTGAAAACACAATTTCACTTTTGCTAATGTTACACACAAAACAAAACATAAAAAGTTAATAATGTAATATAACATTATTAAAAAAACCCGTTGAACAACATTAATAATAACACAAATGAATACCTTAAAACGAAAAATCCTAAACCATGCAACGAAAAGCCCTAATGATGATTCAATTTATAAATATTGATAATGTCATTACAAAATATTGATACTAAATTGCAGGCTGCCAAGATGTGAGAGAGACCATATATTTGAAATTTTAAATTTCCATTTCTGAAAAGGAAAATTATTAAATTCGGATTTCATTAAATATTAAATAAAATTAATTTTGTATTTTTTTATTATAATGTAGAGAGATAGTTATGGAGAAAATCATGGGAGGAGAGAGAAAGAGAATAATTAATTAATAATATTAATTATATTTGTATAATCCCATTTACCCTTAACTACCTATTAACTACTAACCCCTTTTAACTACCTAATCCACTATCAACCAATAGGAAGGCTTTAAGATTCTCCTTAAGAAATAAGACTTAAGGACTTGAACTCAAGCCTAATAAAACACAAATCAAAAGCACTTTCGATGAAGTCAATTTATTCAGATCTTGAAAGCAAACACTATAGTTTGAACCATCAACATTTAAAAGAATTTTTATTCATATGCCTTGTGTGTTTAATCATCACCAAGAATGCATTTCACATGTGATCGTCTATCACACTTCTCAACGGACAATCCAAATAGTTGTGAAAGGAAAGTTTCTAGAAAATAGTCTGTTGGGGGAGTGGATCCAGTCAATAACCTTGTGGTCAATAACTATAATTAACTCAATCAGAATTCGGCACATCAGTGCCCCTTTTCTCTCGTGAAAATACTTTAATTTTCCCCCATTAATCTTTAACAGACGATTTCTCACTCGTTTTAAGTCAAAATTTAATTTTTTCACAGTTAAATCGGATTAATTGTGCTCTTCAAAATAATATCCACTTTGATATATTTTTGGAGCAAAAAAAATCGAGCCATTTTTTACTGGTCTATACTATATGGTATTGACCGGGAAATAAGAGCATACCTATATTATGAAAAGCGTAACATGGTGGTATGAACAAACCAAAACTGTAGGATGGTTGAATAAATGATAGTAGAAGTATATTAACTGTCATTTACGATTTTTAACATTGTGTACCACAAGATACCACCCCGTACCATGGTGGTATTGTGTGGTATTTTTTTGTCCTGTATTTTGTTCACCCAGAAATTTGTAGATCCAATAGCTCATGATGTAACTCGTTCCTTCTGTGCAAAAATTTTCAAAAACGAATTAAAAATGAAGAAAATACCATATGGTACGCAGTTGGTAACGAGAGGCCCGAAAAAAAATTCTAAAAAAAATTATTGAAAATGGATCTCATTTTGTAGAGCACAACGTACTCGTTCCATCTATGCAAAAAAAAAAATTGAAATCCGAGTTAAAACGAAGAAGATATGAGTTGATTAAGAAAACAAGACAAAAATAAAAATGTTTTAATTCTCCCCCTTAGATTTGGATTTACTAAAGGGTTAATATCCTAGTTTGGCCCGAAATTTAATGTAAGTGACAGTTCTGGCTCCATTATTCAAATAAGACATTTATGGCCTACTTTTAAAATTATTGGACAGATTTGGCCCGAAACTTGTGTTGACTGTTATTATTAACGGTCAAACATTTATTCAGCCAATGACTCAGCATCCAATGCTGACGTGGCTTCCATGTCATTTTTATTTCAATTTTTTATTTTCCAATCTCTTTTTTAGTTCTTAAAAACGTCAAAAATGAAAATAAACCCTAATTCTAAACTCACTTCTCCGATCTCTCCCCACCGGACCGCCGCCGCGGATTCCTTTAGCTCCCTCCTCTCTCATTCCCAGGCGCCCCATTGTCGATGGGACATCCATTCCTCCTCCCCAGTGTCCTTTCTCGAGAGCAGCTCCCCGCTGGCAAGGCTTTCTGTTCTTCTTCCCAATCCTCTGCTGATGACGACGACTCCACTCCTCGTCGCTGACAATCTAGGTCAATCATCGTCGTTCACCAGTTGGGTTCGCACTCTGCTCGGATCGCAGACTCCGGGACTTCGCGATTGGTTCTTGTTCGAATTAGAGCCTGGAAGACGGAAGACAGCAGGAGGGAGAGGGACCCGGCACCGGCGGCATGATAATGGCGAGCTCCGCGGGCACGATTGGGCTGGCGGTGGCCAATCGGGTCTTGTACAAGCTAGCCCTAGTTCCGATGAAGGATTACCCTTTCATCCTCTCTCAATTCACTCGATTGATAATATGAGAAAAGGATTTTCTGATAAATAATTGACGACGGGTATGTGGTGATTTACTCGTCGATATTGCATATGCGATACTCCTTTCAATCCATGGTGGAGGAGGAGAGGGGGAGGGTCGGCGGCTCGGCGGTGAAGTGAGATCTACAGAGGCGGGGGAGATCGGAGGAGGGAGTTTAGATTAGGGTTTTTATTTTTATTTTTCAAGTTTTTAAGAACTAAAAAAGATACTAAAAAAAGAATTGAAATAAAAATGACATGGAAGTCACATCTCTGCCACTTCAGCACTGGATACTGAGTCATTGACGAAATAAATGTTTGACCGTTAATATTAACAGTCAACACAAGTTTTGGGTCAGATCTGTCCAATAATTTCACAAGTAGGTCATAAATGTCTTATTTGAAAAATGGGGCCAGAACTGTCACTTACGCTAAACTTCGGGCCAAACTAGGGTATTAACCCTTTACTAAATAAAGGTTCCAGATTTAGTTACCATGGGTTATGCACCGTATCTTGAGCCGCCTGCTGGGACTTTGAATATACTAACATGTGACTAATCAACAATTCAAGGCAAAAAGTATCTCCCACTAGAATTAGCATCAATGAAAAACGAGTAAATTGCAAGTTTGGTCACTACAATTGCTTAAAAAGTTTACGTTTGCTACTAAAAGTAATAAATTTTATCTGTCGTCTCTTAGATTAGTACAACAGTTCAAGTTTGGTCACTCTCCGTTAGTCTCTGTTAAATTTTGCTGATGTGTCAGTCAACTAAGTGACGTGGCAATTTAAAAAATAAAAATTAATTTTTTAAAAATGCCACCTCATTATCACAATAAATAAAAAAATTGCAATAAAAATTGAAAAAACAAAATCCATCCCCCGACCGGCTCCGGAGCCTCGCCAGCGGCGGGACACCTCAAATTGAGCATCGAGTCCAGCCCCTTGGGAATCCCCCCTTCCAGCCGATTCGGCGACAGGTCCACCGACTTGACCTGCTTCAGGCTGGCCAGTCCGGCCGAGATCGGGCCGGAGAAGGAGTTGGAACGCAGGGTCAGGGACTGGAGGGAGGCGAATGAACCGATGGAGGCAACTAGCAAGAATCGGTCCGGAAAAGAGGTGGTCGGCGAGGTCAAGGGTTAAGAGGGCGTTGAGGTGGGAGACGAGTGGAGTGAGCTGTCCAGAGTAGCCTACCGGGTCGAGGGTGAGTTGGGCGACTCGGGAGGAGTCAGGGGAGCAGGCAACGCCGCAGACGAAGTGGGTGAGTCGAGGGAGGGAACATGGGTCAGCCGCGGCGAAGTCCCAGGAGGCGAGGCACGACCAAGGCGGGATGGAGGCAAGGGAGATGGCCGATTTTAGGGCTTTGAGTGTTAAAACGTCTTGTGGGGCAACTTAGTTATGCTGCTCACAGCATAAAGTGTGAGTATCTACTCACACGGTGGATCTGTTGTCCACGTGGGCGAGGGTCAGATGGCGCTGGGTTTGGGTTGAGGAAGGGTTTGCCGGTTTGGGTCGGCTGGTCGAGCCCATGGCTGACCAAGCCCATCGGGCCCATAATTTCAAAAACCAAAAACTGAAACACCCCTTTCCCCCATTTCAGTTTCTCAATTCACTCTCCCCCCACTTCGACTTCCCCTCTCTCCCCCACTTTCCTCCTCTCACGAAAACGAAGCGGCGACGAAAACGAAGAAGCGGCGACGAAGGAAGCGGCGGCGACGAAGGAAGCGGCGGCGACGAAGGAAGCGGCGGCGAGGCATCAGCAAAGCGCCGGCGACTCTCCCCCACTTCGACTTCCCCTCTCTCCCCCACTTTCCTCCTCTCACGAAAACGACGAAGAAGCAAGCACTGCGGCAGCGACGAAGGAAGCGGCGGCGAGGGATCAGCAAAGCGGCGGCGAGCGAACCGGGATTTCGGCGGCGACGAAGGCGGGGTTTTCACGGCGGCGAAGATTTGGACTAAGGTAACTGTCTTTATACTTTGTTCATGGGTTTTCCTTTTGTTGATTTGTCTTCATGGATATTCATTTTCGTTTGGATAGATTTGAGTTAGGGTTTCATGGCTACGACTTGATCTGGGTTTTCCTTTTGTGGATTTGTCTCCATGGATATTCATTTCGTTTGGATAGATTTGAGTTAGGGTTTCATGGCTACGATCGGGTTTTCCATTTGTGGATTTGTCTTTTGGTTTTGTGGATATGAGTTCGTTCTTCTGTGGATGTGAGTTCGTTCTTCTGTGGATGTTATTTCTGGGTTTTGTGGATATGCTTTGTGTTCATTCTGATATTAGTTCTGTTAGGCAAGATATGCGTTCTGTTCTTCTGGATATCCGTTGTTTATTGATCGGGTTTTCCATTTGTGGATTTGTCTTTTGGTTTTTTGGATATGAGTTCGTTCTTCTGTGGATGTGAGTTTGTTCTTCTGTGGATGTTATTTCTGGGTTTTGTGGATATGCTTTGTGTTCATTCTGATATTAGTTCTGTTAGGCAAGATATGCGTTCTGTTCCTTCTGGATATCCGTTATTTATTGACTGTGTTGTCGTTTGATGTATCTTGATATTTGTTTTGTTTGATCATGATATCAGTTATGACTTTCTTGGATAGTTGTTTGATTGGATCTGGGTATTTGTATGTGCAGATATTTAACAATGGCAAGGACTAAAACAACCAAGAGGAAACAGCGACCGACTCCACGACAGCCACCACCACTGCCCCAGCCAGATGAAAATGAAGAAGAAGAAAATGTTGAAGTCGAAGAAGAAGGAGCTGCTAAAGAAGCTGCTGAAGTCGAATCAGGTGGAAGTGCAGAAGAAGATGCTGAAGCTGAAGTAGAAGGAGCTGAACAAGGAGCAACTCGAGGTCAAAGCAAGGCGAGGTACAGATTTCGGTGCACTCTAAATCTCTGCTACATGTTATAATCTGTTTTGTGTGCGTTCTGATATTATTTATTTTGATTCTGGATATCCATTGTGTGTTGCTTGGATTGTTTCTTTGATATTTCTGGATAATTGTTTTTAATCAGCATGATATTTCTGTTTGTGAACTTCTGATATTTGTTTAAATAAAGAAGGTATTTGTCTGTGCAGTATGGATATTTTTCTGTTCTTCGAGGAAATTAGTATACAACCCTAAATAGCATCCATCCCTAAATATTATTGGTGCTATTCCCTTCTAATAAATATCTACGAAACATGGACTAATATCTACCTACACTTCTAATAAATACTGATATCCACGAAGCATGGACTAATATCTACCTACACTTCTAATAAATATCCATATTGCCCAGAACGTTATCTGTTACAATTTAATTAATATCCACTTCATCAAAAAACGTATCCTGGATTCACATGTCAATATCAGATCACAATAGATCACACTCGACCCACCCAACATTATATTCATTACCATTGAGCAATAGTATCATCCAAATCACTGAGATGGTCATCCGGTTGAGTATTGTTGTTCGGCGTGACCGCTTCATTTGATGCCATTCCCTTCCTATAGACACGTTTCTTTCGACGGCGTTCCTTTTCATTCATAGACTTGTAACGTTCCTTACCGTTGCTCCTTGGATTACTCTTCTCCTTCAAAGTCAGCCCAGTTATCGGTATAGATCGTCCTACAATGTTACAAAATTTAGTAAATGCAATAATATTCAACTCCAACAATTTACAAATAATATTAGTGAATACACTTACTGTCCTCGCTAGTAATAGTCTTTGACAATGCCTTGTTTGCCTCATTGCACACTTTCTTGAGTACTCCCATCCACTTATTGTAGTCTTTCTCCTCGGCCATCGATAGTTTCGTTGCTAGTTGATTCAACATTGCAGTGGTTTCTCGGTACCGCATTGCTATACCGATTCCTGCATCATTCTCACTGTGAGCTGAAGGACCAACACAACCATCGACATCAACAACCACTTTCTTTCTCGCCTCCAACGTCCATCGCTCGAGTATGTAATGATCTGGAATACTTCTCATACTGGCTTCCCCAAAATCTCCAAGATGCCGCATCACTTTAATCATGTGGCGGCATAACACTCCGAAAGTTATGAACGTCCTGCATTCGCATACCAATGTCCTCGTAGAAATATCAACGAGAACGACACGCTCATCACTACGCTCACCATCCTCTATCATATATGTGAGGTAGCCAGTCATGCCATCATCCCTAGTATCTGAGAGAGTCTCCATTATATAGGGTTCAGTTTTCAAATACTGCTTTTGTATCCGATTGAAGATGTCAGGAGTAAAGACCTTTGCCGCATGTTGTAGGATTGGGCTATCCTCCAACATAATATAAGGAACCGATTGTTTCCCATTGTAGTCTGACTCAGTCTCCTTTCGTCTTTTTTCAGCCAACAAACTACATTAACAAAGCACGATAAAGAATTTATTGCCCAGACTAATATCCACTCAAACCAATACTAATATCGCAACTACACAAAGTAATATCTATACAATAGCATATAAATATCCGGACAACGCTGAAACATATCTAAAACTTGAATGGACTAATATCAAAGAAAGGCAAAGAAATATTCTGCATACCTGCTAAAGTGAATGAAAAACAAGTCCAAATCATGCTTCGGTTTCAAGAAAAGTCGCACTTGTGCATTGCATGACTCGCTGGCTTGCGTAGTCAACATCCCGGCTATGAATTGATCTCTCAACCATAAGGAACACCATCGACGACGAAATTTCTTCAAATATTCCAACCATGGGTGACCGTCTGCAATTTCACTATTAGGGAAACAATCAGCAACCATTGTGCTCCAGGCCATGTCGAACTCTCTCTCACTGTCGATGTCGTAGAAAATATAAGAAAGATGAGGTTGGAACTTCTTCCAAAATGCCTTGTCCTTACGAAGATGCTTCTTCGCATTCATGAGGATGTGCCAAGTACAGAGGGCATGAAACACAGTAGGCCACTCCTTTCTAAGGGCAGCAACCGTGGCGGCGTCCTGATCAGTAAAAATAGTGACTGGGAGCTTCTCCTTCATGCACCGACTAAACGCTAAAAACAACCATTCAAAAGACGGTGTAGTCTCATCATACATCAAACAAGCACCAAACACACAAGTTTGACGATGGTGGTTGAAACCTACAAACATCCCTGCACAAGACAACTATTAATGACAATGCATAACCGAACGAGTGTCGAAAAAACTTAGGGAATTAGGAATTGATATTGTCCCAAAACATGTCAACAAATATCTGTAGAACCCAGACTAGTATCTCATAATGCCAAACAAATATTCGTCCTATTACCAAAACATATCCTGTGAGGCCATGTCAATATCGGATCACAAGAGTCCACTCTTGAACCACCCAACACTCTATTCAAACATCCATGCTCCTGACAATTAAGTGATTAACGTACCTAGTGGACGGAAGTATTTATTGGTTCGGAAGGTGGTATCAAAGGAGACCGAATCTCCAAAAAGCGCATAATCTTCACGCATCCTACTGTCCGCCCAAAAAATATTAGCAATTTTCTCCTCGGAATCTACCTCTACAGCATAAAAGAAGCCAGGATGCTTTTCCTTTTGGTCCTCAAAGTAGTCAAGCAAATAAGTCGCTTCGCCACGAGCCATTTTCCTTTGCCTTCTACTGTTCAAGTGGTTCTTCTGATCGTATTTGGAAAATTTCAGATTTTGATAGCCACCAGCACAGTCAGCCAATAACTGATACGATGCACTAAGACTCATCCCGGCATCGCGATTAGCTTCGGCCATCTTTTTCTGAGCATCACTCATGCACTTGTTGGACTTGATAAGGTGCGTATGCTCGGTGGAGTGCAAATCATGATTGTGGCCTCCCACAAATTCATACACCACATATCCGTCTCTAGATTCATCCCATCGAAAACGAACACGGGCACTGCATCCAACCCTAACTCGAGGCCTCTTTCTTTTAGGACGCTTTGTCTCCACAACTTTGTCTTCGAACTGTTTTTGTTTCTCCACATCTACTTCGCTAGTGGAAGTCCAACCTTGCTTATTACAAAAGTAATAAAGGTAGAAATATATTTTCTCCACCTCTCCATTAGAATTCTTCATCTTTTTTTGGTGTTGAGCACCATTTCGAACACCAAAACCCTTTTCGTGAGCATAGCGTTTATAGAAAGCCAAACACTCTTCCTTAGTCCGATAAAATATGTTCTTCCTCGTTTCCTCATCTTCTAGGTCCGATGTCTTGTGAGCTGCGATTTAATTGTATGAGGCCATGTTAGTATCCACATTTAACTTGCCCAGACAATTACCCAACATGCCCACAACAGTATCAAATAGACGTCTAAATCATACCCATAAACAGACTGAATTCTTAGGCTTCGACAAGTATCCAACCTTTAATTACATCGTATCCTTTTGTTCCATAAATGTATCAGTAGCCTCCACCAAAATATCCAATATACCCAGAATAATATTTAACCTATCACTAAACATATCCATGACACTCTAAAGAATATCCATACCCAAAAACCAAAAAAAAATATCAACCACTTTCAACACGTCCATATTAATATCCAACATGCACAGGTAAATATCTTAGATGCTTTTACAATGTATCCATGACAACAGCAAATAACATCCACACCCAAAAACCCAATGAAACAGGAGGTTACACCCAAAATAATATCAACACCATTAAATAACATCCAATGCACACAACAAAACTCAACAACACAAACATATATATAATAGAATCCACCTTCACTCTCTTCTTCTTCTTCTACAATGAAGTCACCAACACCATCTGAGTCTTCATCAACAAATTCATCTATTGTAGGATCGAGTTCTTCTTCTTCTACAATGAAGGCAGCCACACCGTCCAACTCGCCGTCGTCGTCGAAAATCATCCTTTGTCCAGATGATCTGCTCGCCGGAAGGAGAGGATCGCCGGCAAGAAGAGAGAGGACGGCAAGGTTGAGCGGCGGCGAGTAAAGGAAAAAAGGAGAGAGAGAGGAAAAAGTGGAAGTGGTGGTTGAGATGATCATAAATGCTCTCCTTCCCCTTTTGTTCAACAAATATCTAACCTTCCTCCTTTTTGTTCAGCAAAATCCCGCCCAAAATTTCCTTCACCAAAGAAAAATGGGCCGAAAATGAATTTGATGTGCCTTCGGCCCATGGGCCCTCGGCGGGCGGCCCTTACTAGGCTGCAAGCCCACCCCGAATTGTTTAACTTCTTCTCCCACTTTCCCGCCCAAAATTTTGGCCACCCCAAATATCTGCCCACCTCCCGCCCAGATTTTCGGCCGCCCAAAAACCGCCCACTTCCTCCGCCCATAAGTTCGGCTCGCCCAAAAAAGCCCCAGGCCCTCTCTCCTCTCGGCTCATGGGTCAGTGAGTATCTACTCACACTTTGGCCTGTGAGCAGTTTAACTTTTTCGCTTGTGGGGATGTGAGAGCTGTTAGGCAGGGTAGAAAGGGCTGAAACAGAGAATAATGGGAAGAAGAAGAAGGTGGCAAATGAGGGAAATTGAGAAAGCTTGGGATTGCGAAATGTGAGCAGGGTAGGGACGGGACTATTGGAGAGTCGAGGGAGAGGATTGGTTAAGGAAACGAAACGGGCGAGTATGGCAATGGCTGGAAGGCACCAAGGGCCGGAGTAGCTTGGAGCCGCTGGCGAGCTGGTCGGGGGAATGGATTTTGTTTTTTCAATTTTGGAATTTTTATTGCAATTTTTTATTTTTTTTCTTGCAATTTTTTATTTATTGTGATAAAGAGATGGAATTTTTTTAAAAATAATTTTTATTTTTTTAATTGCCTTGTCACTTAGGGGTCATTTGTTTGTTGGATTTGAAAAATGAGGGTTTTGGCTCAAAAAAACTTGTGAATTTATGAGGGATTTGTACCATCATGGATTTGAAGAGTCTATTGTTTGCATGATAGATTTGATGATATAATTA